TAGAACATGGAAATATACAATACTGGGTGTGTGTGTGTGTGTGTGGGCCTGTTGGGGATGGGGGGTCGACCCCGCCCCCACTAATCAATCAATCAATCAATCACTCAATCAATCAATCAACAACAAAAAAAAAAAAGCAAAATCGAATGAATCTTCCGCTAGAACATGGGAATATACAATCCTACGGATTCCTACCTATGTGTGTGTGTGTGTGCACGCCTGTGGGGCCAATCAATCAATCAATCAATCAATCAATCAATCAATCAACCAACGAAAAACAAAAACAAAAAAACGCGCTGTTATTTTTTATTATTTTTTTTTCGAAATACCTTCACTCGCCCAACCCCCCCCCCCACAAAAAATAGTTTCTTTTTCATTTTTTTTTGTTTGAGGGGGTGGGGCTGGGGATGCGCCGCCCCATGGCGCTTCCCGAATCCCGAACCCCCCTCCCCACTGGCCGCCACGTGGCGTCAAAGCCGCGCGTCCGGGCGGATGCGTCCGCGGGGTCGGCGGACTGGCCGCGTCCGCGGAATCGGCCGCGCTTGGCCGCCGCCGAGGGGGATTCATAGCACCCAGGAGTGGGCGGCTACAAAGCTCTGTGGAAGCCACGGCGGTGGTGATGGGCAGTCGTATACGGAACTCCTCCGGTAGGGGCTGAGTGGCAACGAAGGCGATGGCGGCGTGAATCTGTCGTTCGGGATGTGTAGCGGGAGGTCGTCGGCCACCTCACGAACGGTCATCGTCAACAACCATCCCAACGACGATGGCGGGCAAGTGACGACTGTTGCGCGGTCATCGAAGTCTCCAGCATCGGTCCTGGAGTCGTCGGGGAACAAGGATCCTCCGAGGCAGCAATACCGGTCGTCGTCTGTGTCGAGGGGTGCCTCGGCTCGCCCCCTGTGGATGCAGTTTCCGTCTCCCCTGTCCGCCAGTTCGACTGCCGCCCGCCGTCGAGGCGAATGCGGGGAGACGGATTGTGGCATCGCCGATGTTGGTGATGCACGCGACGGGAGGGAGGTGTGGGCAGAGAAGCGACGAACGCTTCATCCACCAGCGGGAGGAAAACGACGGCGACGCACCTACGGTGGGCGCGGACGATCAGGAGTGGAACGACGACGATGGCGAAGGTAGGGATGACGACGCAGGCTACGTATCGTCTTTCAAGCAAAGCAGCATGGGAGGGAGGGGCGGAAAGACGAGGGCGTGTGCTCGCAATGGTTGTCGGGGGAAAAAAGCGGCGGTGAAGAGGAGCGATGCCAAAGGTGACGCTGATGCGGAAGAAGGTCGTCAGTTCTGGTCCGTCGACGACATGATAGCCCTCATTCGGGCTAAACGTGGGCAGGACGCGCATCTGCAGGGGATGGGTACCGCGTACGCTCATATGAAGCCACGAGAATTGAAGTGGTTGGATGTGGCGCAGAGGTTGAAGAAGGTGGGCGTCGACAGAGAAGCAGAACGGTGTAGGAAGAAGTGGGACAATTTGATACAGCAGTTCAAGAAGGTGCATCACTTCCAAGGTTTGTCCGCCGTCCGGGAAACAAGACTTCTTTCAATTCTTTGGGAAAGAGAGGTTGTCGAAGGGCTTCAATTTCAACATGGATCGTGCGGTTTACGATGAGATACGGGGGTCGACCGCCAAGAGTCACACCATAAACCCCAAGAACGTCGCCGACACTGATGCTTCGGGTTGCGTGCGTCTGTCGTCTGCCACTTCTGCGGATCCTGGATCTGTGGGCAATGGGGACGATGGTGCAGGGCACGACGACGACGAGGATGGGTCGACGAGAGGTTCTTCTCAAATAACGGGAAGCCCTGCCGGTTTCGGCAAGAGGAAGAGCACAAGGCAGCAAACTTTCGAAGCGCTGACGGAATGCATGGAGAAGCACGGGGCTCTCGTGGCGTCGACGATGGAGAGCAACAGCAAGCGGCAGTGCTCCATCCAAATCTGGCAGTGCGAGGCGTTGGAAGCGGAGGTTGAAGTGTAGAAAAAGCACTACGCAGTGTCTGACGAAGTTAGCAAACTGATGTGTCACGCTCATCTGGAGATAGCGAAGGTCATCCGCAAGCGTTAGAGTTCGTGCCGCCTCTGTTGTGCGCATTGTGGCTTCCATCATCCGGACGACGCGAAAGTGAGAGCCTTTCCATCGTCGATGTAGCCGTTGCCTGCCCGTCGCGGACGTGACGGTTCCCGATTGGCCGTGCTGGCCAGGGAAGTGGGTGGTGGTCCGATTGGGTGGATGACTTCTCCTGTCACATTGGCGTCTTTTTCTTTTTTTGTTTTATTTTTAGGGTTTCTCGTAGGCTACTGTCGTTTGCCAGGACGGATAATTTCGTCATCTCTAAATTTATATTGGCGCCGATGAAGTGCATCTCTATATTTTTGGATATTTTCTTCCCTTTTTTAAATGACGACTTTGGTTTGGTCTTTCTCTCTCTCTTTCTATCTAGTATCTACTTATCTCTCTCCCTCTGTCTCTCTGTTTTGGTCTCTTCCCCTCTCTCTCTCTCTCTCTCTCTCTCTCTCTCTCTCTCTCTCTCTCTCTCTCTCTCTCTCTCTCTCTCTC